AGAGCGGCAGATGCTGCTGGGCACAGCAGTCCCAAACCTGAGCAGGAAGAGACTGAAGAACATGCTGATAGCAATCCCCATCAGCCAGACCAGCCTGACAGCCCCCCTGAAGCACAAGACGGTGAGACACAGAATGGTAAGTCGAACAGCAGCAGCGTGAAAGGACTTGAGCAGAATCCTGACGTTAAGGATGTTGGCAGCAGAATTCCCAATGTTTTTCATGGAACTACCATTTCACCTTGTACTGCAGCCAGCACAAGGCGCCGGCACAAACATGGGACTTGAAGCACGTTGGACTGAGTATCCAAAATAAGTGACCATTGCAAAAGAATTTGGAATAAAATAATGACTAACTTGAAGAAACTGTTTTGAACAGACTTAAGTCTTAAGGGTGGGACTTCTGTAGGAGTCAAGGCGGGGGGGGGGGGGGGTGTTAATTAATCGCCCAATAATCTTTTGCCAATAGTTACACTCCTGCTTCATATAAAGTAGATTCTTGTATGAGACTAAATCAAAAGTAAGAAAGTGAACAGATCGGAACTAAAGATAATTAGAGTTAGAAAACCAACACCTAAAACTAGGATTTAACCTTTCAGAAAATGCTGCCAGCCTAAATAACCACTTAGCTGTCAGCAATGAGATATCATTGCTATAAAAGATTAGATTAATTTTGGATTCATGGATTGGTGCTGTTTATTTAAAATGGTGGCTTTGAAGTTTAAGGGTAGAATTTTTGAAAACACTCGTCTTGCACTGACTCAAGCCAGTTAGTGGACGCCAGAATAAAAGGCAGTAAAACAAACAAGTCCTACTGAAAATCCCACCAGAACACTTACCTGGTACAAAGGCTTTGTTTTTCCGATTTCCACGGCTAGTCGTTTTGCTGCTCCTATCTGCCATGTTCCCGCCGTGTGAGTTTAAAATCACTTATGAGGAGGGCATAGTTTGGGGCTGCGTGGACTGAAAACTGAGCTACAGCAATGAGGAGAAAAAAAAGGCTTCCTCAAATTCTGATGTACCTGCTGGGATGGCAGATGAAGAGTGAGTTCAGAGCAATATCCTTCTTCACTGAAGCATCTGGTAGCTTCAGTACTTCAAGAACAGATAGGTTGCTGGCTCTTGAAGTTTGGAGCACTACTGTAAATCTTGGGAGAAAAAAAAAAAACAAACGAGGAACTGGTTAAACCAAAGCACATCGCAGCTTGACCCCTTTCAAAAAGCAAATCTTGGCCTCTCTCCTCCACATTGGCCAAAGGACATAACTTAGAGTCACCTCTAGAAAAGAAGTTAGCTGCGGTTTTATTTTTTCTTCCCTTTACATGTTGCTGGGGATGGCAAAGACAGCTCCACAGTGGCATGGCAGTGCAGGGGCTTGTCCCCTACGTGCCTTGAGCTTCACAGGCATCAGCTATTTTACAGCTTCATTGTTTTCCCTGGCTTGTTTGTTCTCCCTTCTAGGCTCAGGTACCCCTGTGTGTGCTGGGGAGCTGAGGCACTGGACCCACGGGCACTATACTCTAGTCCACGACACTCAAGCAACAGAATTTGTTCTCGACCTGCTCTTCTTCTGTGGCTGTGAGGGTAAGTGGACAAAAGAGAGAGATCAGACTCTCCTTACAAGGTTTGCGTAAAGGAGGGACTTCTGAATTCTCAGCAGTGCTACGATAGCCAAAATTTCTCTGCTTTTTCCTATATAGAAGGGCTCTGTAGAGTTTTTCCTAGTCCTCACTTCTGCATGAGCCCTGGTTTCAGTAGTCCTTAACGCAAAGATTTGGGATTGTGACCTTGGGATCAGCTTTGACCTTTCCTGCTGGAGCCAGGAGGTGGCGCTTGGGCAGAGGGAAAAAGCTGTGTCTCCCAGACCTTTCCTCTCACTAAGCCAGTGGCTCTGGGCATGGTGGAGGGTCAGGTGGCCAGAATACCCACTAAAAGTGTTCCATTTCACCCCTTTTCTCATCAAAATTAGCACTGCGCCTCCAGTTCACAAAGCCCAGGGTTTTCAAAAGTTCCTTTAGGCATGTCTAGGCGTTTTAGGTTGATTGCTTGTTAGACAGTGGTGAAAACAAAAATCTAAACATAAGCATTTTGGACCAGCTGAGCCCACAATGCACAGCTGAAACCACCTGGCACATGCTGGTAATTATACTGAAAGCCTTTTGCATATCTGCTAAGGCAAAACTGCTCTACATGTGAGGAGCAGAGAGCCAAGCAACCTTAAATGGCCCATCTGTGGTAAAAGGCAAATCTGGTACATTTGCTTCAAGCTGTTTCTGATTTGGAAAAAAAAAAGAATAGACGGGCAGGAGCTAAACTGGGAATCGTCCTGTATCCGGTAACTGTCGTAAGTGGGGTGGAAAAGTGGCATCTCCAGGAAGGCTGTATGGAGCCTGGCCAGTGTTGAACTTTCTAAGAATCCTTCTTTTCTATTTTAAGACTGGGATCCAGAATATGGTGGCTTTACTTCCTACATCGCTAAAGGTGAAGATGAAGAGGTAAGGACCTCAGTTGCTAGCTGCAAATTAGATTAAATTGTTTAGGGTGGAGAGAAGTAATTACACTTTGTCATAATGCTAGCATAATCCTGAGGGTGCTTGGTATTGCACCGGAGCCTTCCTGCCGGAATTACAGCTCATGGGCGTAGCTCTGGCTTCAGCTTCAAGAGGCTTGCGCTCACCGTAAAGCTTAAGACTCGGGCCCTGACAGTGCCTAATGCCACCTGCACCTGGATGAGGCTTTTCCAAGGAAGTGCTGTTTACTTGTGTCACATTCAGTATAGCACTAGTGAGAGTGCTGAACAGTCATACTAATAAGGTGGCCAGAATCCCTTCAAGTGAACCTTGCTGTCTAATAAGTGCTTCAGGTTAAGGGATATTAAAACAAAAGTAGTGACATAGTTCATTTTCTAACACCAGACCTTTGTTCTGACTAGCTTTTGAAACTGTTTTGTTTGTTTCTTCCTAGGAATGCTATCAAAGCCATTTTTGTGAAACTAATTTCGTCCCTTATTTTCATGTCTTCTAGCTGTTGACAGTGAATCCAGAGGACAACTGCTTGGCCTTAGTTTATAGAGACAGAGAAACTATGAAGTTTGTGAAATACATCAATCATCGTAGCTTGGCTCGCCTGAAAAAGCATCCAAACAGAACAGGATTTTGGGATTTTTCCTTTGTCTATTACGAGTGATGGTGCAGAGTGTGACCGTTGTCACACAGAAAATAGCGGTGGTGGTGGGTGGGGGGCAGGTTTCTACCCAGGCCTTCAGCTGGGGCCTGTCTGAGACCAGACAAACTCCGCTGATGCTAACACATCACGCGGTATACGAGCTGCTACCGAGTGAGGCCCAGGTGACTTTAACTGCACAAACGGAAATCCATTCTCCCGAGTCCACTGTAACAGGCACTCTCGACTACTTTTAATGCTACGTGGAGGGGTCATTGTCACAGAACTGACAGCGGCTCTGTCAGCTTTCCAGCTGTTCTCTCATGGAAATAGCACGGTGGGATGCATCTCTAACCTGTCAGGGTGAAAATTACAACTGTGCATTGCCCCAAGCTGATGACTGATTTTTATTAAAAAAAAAAAAAGTTAAATGCTTCAAACTCTGGTTGGGCAAGTTTTGTTACAAAATGCCCAAGACATTTTCTGGGGTTTAACTGCGTTCACTGTTTGTAGGCAGAAATAAAGGAGCTGCCGTGGAGGTTTTTCCAGCTGCACAACTCTGTGGAGTTGGGAAGGGAGACCAGCGAGGCTGTAAAGCTGCTGGCATTGAGAAGGACCTGGCACTGTAACGAGGAGCAGTAATTTATTATGCTAAATGCTGTGCAGACAGACCCAGATGCAGCCCTTTCTCCAAAGAATTTACAAGCTAAACAGACAAGAGACAAGACCTGCTCCCGCGTCCTTCTCTGCTTGCGTGGGTACATGGATGGCTGCGCTTCAGCCTCAGGACAGGGGAGGGTGGGCAGGTGGCAGGAAGCGGTAACTCACCTCGCCCTGACTCGTCATCCACAGGTCACCAACAGCGTGGCCTTGTGTCACGTTAGTTTTGTCCTGGGGTCTGCTAGGCTCCACTGTGGCTTCTGTCACTGGAGATCAGGTCAGATCTTTCCAGGCAGCAGATATCCAGCTCCAGTGGTACACAGTACGAGAAAGGCGGTGGTCTTGGTGCAATGCCCCCCTCCACATGCTTTCAGCGCTGCTCACCTGCTCCATGTTCACTGCAAGCAGGACCATGGCAGACTGTCACCTCTGAGGTGTCCAGGCCACCACCAGGTGCTGAGCAGAGCTGTGCTGGTTGCTTCAGGAGGCAGCCAGACTGCAGAACACCCTGCTGGAGGCTCAGCCCTGGCCTGCATGTGCTTGCCTGAATTTTTTTTTTTGGCACTGAATAGACACAGGTGTACTTTCAGCTCATCCAAGCAGGATTGCAGGGAGCTGGGGAGAGGGTGCACGTTTTATTCCTTCTGCCTCTCCTGGGTTGGGAGAGGGTAGCTTTGGATTAGAGTCTGCTGCTTCTCCAGTTCCAGGCCTGCTGTTGTAGACCGGTGCGGCAGTGTAAGACCGCAGCTGGCAGCAGAGGAGCAGTGAGCTCAAAGCAACCGTGTTGGCAGATGAGTATTCTGCAGCCCTCCTGGTGCAGCAGCAGGACATCCTTCGGGCATGACTTCATGAAGATACAGGAGCAACAACCTTCAGCTGTGATCCCAACACACAAGGTTTGAAAAAAGAACCACTGAAGCATGAAGCTGCTGCCGTTGCTTCTAAAATGAAAGGTGTCTCAGCCCCTGCTGATGCCAGAGCAAGGGGAGAACACGGCCGTTTAGAGCCTGATGCACCGGACAGTTTCAGTGTCAGTTCAGTCCCGGACTGTGAGTGGTTGCTCGGTTCTAGCTTTTCCCTCCTGCACTGCTGGGTTGGGAGAACAGCTGGAACATGGTTGCTCTGAGCTGCTATTGCAAGATCTACACCATCTTGTTTGTATTCTGACTCATCTCCCTAAGCTGGCTTCTCCGTGCACTGCCGAGACTTTCTTGCTTGGTTTTAATCTTCTTTTCCTACTGTTTTATGCTACTTACAAAGACAAGGGTATGAAGCTAGAAACAAATCCTGAAGTGAGGACAGGACTCCCTTCTCTGTGAATCATTGGTTTCTGAGGCACTCTGCAGCCTTTCTGGGCAGCAGTTATTCCTGGGGAGAAAGAAGTTCTTATTCTGAGCTGCTCCAGTAGAAAGAGACAAGTAATGGAGGTTTCAAATGAAAAAAAGCAAAAGCACAATTGTTTGGGTCATTTCGAACAAAGGTGACAGATACCACAGCTATTCACAGCATCGTCAGCTAGGCAAAGTTGGGAGTAAATTAATCAACAAAATAAAGTTACTTATTCTACTGCACTGCCAACCTAAGAGTGCGCTTGGTAGATCTTGGAACGGCCTCCCTGAAGCTTACTGCTTTTTAATAACAAATAATACACTAGAGGGCATACCAGCCTCTACTTGAGCAAGCCCACATCTACCTGATCACACAGAGAACCACCCTTCTGCCTCCGGTGACTGAGATGAAGTAATTTAAGAAGCCAAATTTGCAGTTAGCATTCAAAGATTTAAAAATCAACACGTCTCTGCTCTCCCACCCATCCTGTTGGATCCCGAAAGTCAAAGACAGCCCCACACATGGCTGGCGGTCCAGGGGAAAGACTCCGCTCGCCGGAATTTCAAATGACATGAGCTATTTGGGGAGAGGGGTCTTCATTTAGACTGCACCGATAACGAAAGCCCGCTCTATAGATGCTCTTGCTGGATACAAATCTGCATTTACAATTAGGTGTAGCTGCTTGCAAAGTACTCTGATCATTATGGAAAGGAGTATGAAATACATACATACCCACGAAATGAGTAAGCAGGACAATATGGAAAAATGGGATCAAGAACAGTAAGTGAACAGAGTTACGGAGTATGAAGAACAGAGACCAGAAACTTCATACCAGGCAAGACGGCCTCGCGCAGACGCCAATCAGCTCGGCTGTACGAGGACACGCGTTTCCCACCAGCTCACTGCACCTCCCAAACCCGGCATTCGATGCGGGGTACCAGCAGCTTTCAGTTACTGAAGCACTGAGTTACGCAAATGCTTCACAACAGATTTTTCAGGATTTGGTGGTTATCAGTTTGCCAAGTAGCTGAAAACAGGAACAATTCAATATAGAGCAAGATAAAAGAGTGTAGCTGTAGACCAGACTAAAGGAATGGTTTCGGCATTCATAAACATGCCGCAAAGAAGTTCTGACATCAGGTATTCGGTGAATTAGTATTAAGGTGACCAGCAATCCGTGGGACTTGGAAAAATGAGCTAAAATCAGATAACCTGTTGTCAAGTGTCAGTTCCAATTGTTTTGGTTTTTTAAACTCCAAATTGGAACTTGAATTAGGACATTGAAAATCGCTGTTACAGAGATCCCTCTTCAGCGGGCGCTGATCCAGCACGGTACTTCTGCAGCGTCTGTTTCCCAGGCAGTGAAGGGGCCACACGAGGAAGGCTCCAGCGCAAACTGAAGCTTCAGGCAGGCGCTGAAGTGCCCCAGTGGAGCAGGACAGTGGTCTAGACCTGATCCCCAGCACACGTACCAAGGTGTGGTGCCATCTAAGCAGCCTTGCCCATGAATTTTTAGCAACAAGCAGCTCTCCTAGTGTAGTTTCAGAGGTTATTCTGTACTTGACTAGCAGCAGTCACCTGCTGTGACCAGTTCCCTTCCCGTACCCAAGAACAGGATCACTAGGCATTAGTCGTGGGCTGAATCGTACCGGCGGGAACTGTTTGCCCCGATCTCCTGGTGCAGGTTCAGCTTACATCAGCTTGCTGCTGTGCGCCAGCCAAGGGCTGCTTTATTTCAACAGGCAGCTGCAAACCTGGTATCACTTCTGCTAAGGGGATGTTTTTTTCACATTTGGCAAAGATAAAAGTTGTTTTTATGGGAAAGTAAATGACAAATTTGTTGTCAGAAACTTAGTCAGGGGAAATCAGCTCTATCAGAGGTCTGGACTGTGACCAAAGGACTCACTCCTCACTGCCAAGAGCAAAACAGAGCTGGGACTGGAAGTGCATGGTGTGTAGCCCTGAAAATCAGGCTGATGGGAAAGCTGCTTTCTGATCAGAGCCACTCTCTTGTCATTGAATGGACTACATAAATGTAAGTAAGCAAGCATTAGGATTTTGAACATAAAGAACAAGGGGTTGAAACAGTGGGAACAGGTACAGCAGGTGGCAGAACGCCCAGCACTTATGCCAGGAGACTGTTCCATAATCAAGTCTTAAAGCTCGCTTGCTTAGAACAGCATGGGTGGCTCACCACCCTTTTACCAGGGAGCTGGATTTGACTAGCAACCAGGTTCTTAAAAGGATTCAAATGAGCTCCTGCTGCAGATTTGAAGTGACAGGGATCTGTGCTTTTGGCAGCGCAGTTCTCCATACTGAAGAGGCCGAAGCAGCGGCAAGGGGCCGTTTTGGGGATTAAAACACATTGCAAGAATTACATTCCCCATTCAGCTGGTTGCACACTCACCAGTTGCTCTGTAACGAATCGTGGGCTGCTGGCTTTAATTCAGTAGTGGCAAGTAAGAGCCAGACCAGTTACAGGACACGAATACTCCTGACAGCCCCAAGAAGCTACCCAAGAACTTCGCTTCACAGAGGCGGACTGCCTCCTCCCCACCCACGTTGCAAACACTGATCCATACAGCGGTAGGTGCGATGAATGGTGCGGGAGCTAGGAGCACTGGGGCCCAGCCTCCATCTTATGCAGGATATTTTTAGCTTCTAGAAGAAATATGTTTTGGCAAAGGTTCTAAAATATCTTTAGATCTAAGGTACAGCCTGACTGTAATATTTTAATCCAATTCTAAGAGATCCCACAATTAATAAACAGGTTTGAGCCAGGAGCCAAGAGATTTTTCAATACCACCTTCTTTTGATCCCATTAAGTACTGCCAGCTCTTCATAAGTATGCACCAGTTTGGGTCTATAGTTTGGTTTTGTTGTTCCTGAAACGCGCCCTTGCCCACCTCAGTATCTGCAGTTTTTTCCAGCAGCAGCACAGAACCAGTAGCTGGAAGCAAAAATTGCTGCAATCCAGGTGTGGGGAGAGCATCAGATATGAAACAGATCGCTTCCTACCTGCGTGGAACATGGAA